CAGCTACAGGAGCCCCTAAAAGGTATGGACACACACATTTGGAGCTGTTTCAAACTATACACATGTAGCAGAGCTGCTCCAACATTAACACTGGATGAAGGAGGATATGTGTCCATACCCACAGAGATAGCTATGCACTGCTGTGTTGAATGACACAATCCCACATCTTCTGGTATCATTTCCATCATTTTTTCTTGCCCATCCTTGCTCTACCGATGCTACTTACATCATTTTCTAACAACAGTTAAACAACTGGGGAATGGGTCCCTGGTGAATCTTTGCCATTTGGAAACGTTATGTAAAACAAGTCCTAAACACCTTAATACACCTTGCTATTCCTGACGTATTTTAAGTTAGCGATACCAATAACTTTAACTCATGTTTGCATCCTAATTTATATGCATATATGCACTTTTGTCAGTCTGCACATCAAGAATGAAGCCAGTGATTAGTCAGTCTTTACATATGCTTATACCACTGCTGGATGAACATAACCACTAAAAAAGGTGGACACATTCTTCTTTACATAAACAACACCTTCCTTCTTATCTATTTCCTCTCTTCACCATCAACCGGCCTAACTAATGGGACTTAGATCAAAGTTACTCTAGCAGGGAATTGCATTGGTATATAAATAACACTTCTATCTCATAAGTAGCTGGTGACTAATTTGTCCATGATTAAATAATTACACTATCTTTTACACAGTGAATTGAGGCTATGATACTTTAAAAGTTCACTGAAGGCCTGATTTATTTCTCCTTAACTCAGTGAGAATTGAGTCAGGGTCTTACAGAAGCTACCAGAATTTCTTTGTAATGATGGCAACATTAAATCTAAACTCCTAAGGAAGGAAATTAAGCAACCTTTGTACCTGTGAATACTTATCCCTTGGGGATTTCTTATAAGTCCATGTTTTTGTCTTAGAATTTCTAGGAATTTACCAATTTACAGGGCTCGCAGAAAACTTGTTCCATACTCTGCTTAGAAATGTAATTCAAAGAGAGACAGATAAACCAGCTAATCAACATTCTCCCTGCACTCTGCAGAATAAACATAACACTGATAGCACGGGAAAGGATCATCGACCTAAGACCCAGTGTCTAGAAGTACCAAGCACCTTCTCTTTCCAGGTTATGGATGTAGTGTCACTGATATTCAGCCTAGAATATATTTCAGAAAAACGTGTGCGAAGGTGAAAAACACTGGCCAATAATGGGAGACCCTAAAGGAAACCTGAGGAGGGACCAGATCAGCCCGTCCACTGGGACCCCCTCAAGCCCCGGGGGAGATGCACCCAGGCCTAGGGTCAGTGAGGACCTAGTCAGGGAACTTCTGGAGGGACTGGACGTATTTAAATCAGCTGGTCCTGACAACCTCCACCCCAGAGTGCTGAGGGAATTAGCAGAGGTCACTGCGGGACCCCTGGCACAGCTTTACAAGCACTCATGGTGCTCTGGTGTGGTGACAGAGGACTGGAAAAGGGCCAATGTGGTTCCCATTTTCAAAAAAGGGAGAAAGGTGGCCCCAGGGAACTATAGGCCAGTTAGTCTTACCTCGATCCTGGGTAAGCTTTTTGAGAGAATTATCCTGGTGCATGTCCACGAGGGGGCAGCAGGGGAGGTTATGCTTAGGGGCAACCAACATGGGTTCATTAGAGGCAGGTCCTGTCAGACCAACCTGGTGGCCTTCTGTGCCCAGGTCACAAAATCCTTAGACGCAGGGGGAGCGGTGGACGTAGTCTTTCTGGACTTCAGGTTGGCCTTCGACACTGTCTCTCACCCCATTCTCATTAAAAAACTAGGGGACTGTGGCGTCGACACCTACACAGTCAAATGGGTCGCCAACTGGCTGGAGGGCCACACCCAGAGAGTGGTGGTAGATGGGTCATTTTCGACCTGGAGGGATGTGGGCAGTGGGGTCCCCCAGGGCTTGGTCCTCGGACCCACGCTGTTCAACATCTTCATCAGTGACAGGCTGCAGTTGTAATACTGCTTCCAGTTCTGGGCACTGCACTTCAGCTAGGATCTGGAACCAACTTCCAAGGGAAATGGCGCTCGCTACTACCCTGGGGGTCAAAAAGAGGCTAGACAATCACTTAGCACAATCAATCGTTTGACCCTAGCATTCTTTCCTGCCCAGGGCAGGGGGTTGGACTTGATGATCTGCTCAGGTCCCTTCCGACCCTACCTACTATGAAACTAAGACAAATTGGAGGATTGGGCCAAAAGAAATCTCATGAGGTTGAACAAGGACACGTGCAAAGTCCTGAACTTAGGACAAAACAATCCCATGTACCAGTACAGGCTGGGTGCTCACTGGCTGGGCAGCAGCTCTGCTAAAAGGGACCTGGGGGCTACAGTGGACAATAAGCTGAATATGAGAACCTGTTCAGCCTCCACAAGAGAAGGCTGAGGGGGGATCTAGTGGCCTGTTACAAACTAGTCAGAGGGGACCAGCACGTATTGGGGGAGTCCCTGTTCCCCTGAGCACTACCAGGAGTGACTAGAAATAACGGTCACAAGCTGGCAGAGGGTAGATTCAGACTAGACATCAGGAGGCACTACTTCACAGTCAGGGCGGCTAAGACCTGGAACCAACTTCCAAGCGAAGTGGTGCTGGCTCCTACCCTGGGGGTCTTTAAGAGGAGGCTAGATGAACACCTTGCTGGGGTCATTTGACCCCAGTGCTCTTTCCTGCCATTGCAGGGGGTCGGACTTGACGATCTGTCAAGGTCCCTTCTGACCCTACCAACTATGAAACTATGAAAAGATGTAGAGCCAGAGTAACAACAAACATTAAGTTACAGCTTCTGGCCCATCTCCAGTGGCCAAGCCTCAAGCTCACCAGTTCCAGCTCCAGATCTCACATCTCTCCTAACTGCCCCTGTCCTTGCTTGCCTTCCCCATGTCTCAAAAGTCATGTCTTTTTCTCATCCAAAAAACTAGAACTCTTGGTTCCAAAATGATGGTTTATTAGACCAACTGGAAAATGGCAAGAAAATTGTCCTTTTCTGCAAGCTTTCAGGATCCAAGTCCCTTCATCAGGCTTTGGAAAAAGTGTAGATGGTACAAGATGGTAAAAGTCCCCATATGTAGGAAATAAACTTCATTTTTGCACAGAGGGAGCTGAAGATGGAAGGCTGTCCCTCTGGGTCCATGAGTGTCTTTGTGAGCTGTGTTGAGTAGCTCTTTGAAGTGTTGATCAGGTAGAATTCCTTCCCTGGAGGTGTCAGATGGCAGGCAGGGAGGTAAAAAAACTTCCTTGTTCTGCAATGAAGTTTAAAATTCAAAATCGGCTAAAATTCGGCACCTTCCATGTTTCAGGGGTGTACTTGGTAGCTGTGTTGGTCTGAGACAAACAGCCATACAAAAAAATTAGAACTCTTGGTTCCAAAATGATATCTTTTATTAGGCCAACTGGAAAATGGCAAGAAAATTGTCCTTTTCTGCAAGCTTTTGGGATTGTTCTTTTCTGCAAGCTTTTTGTCTTCTTTTCAATAATATTTCTGTATATCCATCCTTTCATTAATAATATTGTCAAAAATTTAAATGTACAATAAACATTCACATAAGAGGTTTTCATTGAATAAAAGTCAATAAAAGTCATACTGTTACTGATTTTCATATTTCATTGAGTAAGTACATTCTGGCACATATTGCAATGTCTGAAGACTTTCATTTTGCCACATGGCCTGGTAAAAACAGTAGTCCCGGCTGCAGAATTTATGTCCTGTGCTCCTCAGAGTCTCTCAACTAATAGCACAGAAAGACATAGTACAGAAAAATGCTTGGAGTTGCCAACAACTTGAATTGGAAACACAGCAGGATATTTCAGATTTTAAAATTCTGACAGGAATGCTTTTTAGGTAGAGAGAGCAAATCTAGAGAAAAAAAAGACATTATGAAAGGAAAAATCTCACTGGCTGAAGGTTTAATACAATTAATGAGCACTTACAATTCAATCATGAATGTTTACTGAAATGCATGTTTGAGCGCCATCCCCAAAGGAAAATCTGAAAGTATAGTTGGTCTTCTTCAATGACTGAAGACAACAGGTGCCTTGTTACAAATGTT